TGCAAAATGGTGAAACCATCAAAGAACAGAACACCTCTTCTTCTCCCAGGGATCACAACTCCTCACCATCAAGGGAACAAAAAAAGACAGAGAATGAATTTGACAAATTGATAGAAGCAGGCTTCAGAAGATGGGTAATAACAAACTTTTCTGAGTTAAAAGACCATGTTCTAACCTAATGCAAAGAAACTAAGAACCTTGAAAAAAGGTTAGATGAAATGCTAACTAGAATAACCAGCTTAGAGAAGAAAATAAACAACTTGATGGAGCTGAAAAACACAGCACAAGAACTTCGCATGGCATACACAAGTATCAATGGCCGAATGGATCAAGCAGAAGAAAGGCTATCAGAGATTGAAGATCAACTCAATGAAATAAAATGAGAAGGTAAGATTAGAGAAAAAAGAGTGAAAAAAAAATGAACAAAGCCTCCAAGAACTATGGGATTATATGAAAAGACCTAATCTACGCTTGATTGGCATACCTGAATGTGACAAGGAGAATGAATCCAAGTTGGAAAACACTCTTCAAGACATTCTTCAAGAGAACTTTCCCAACCTAACAAGGCAGGCCAACATTCAAATCCAGGAAATACAGAGAACACTACCAAGAAATGCTTCAAGAAGAGCAACCCCAAGGCATATAATTGTCAGATGCACCAGGGTTGAAATGAAGGAAAAAATTCTAAGGGCAGCCAGAGAGAAAGGTCTTTCTTCTCACAAAGAAAAGACCATCAGACTCACAGCGGATCTCTTGGCAGAAACACTATAAGCTAGAAGGTAGTGGGGACCAATATTCAACATCCTTAAAGAAAAGAACTTTCAACCTAGAATTTCATATCCAAACTAAGCTTCATAAGTCGAGGAGAAATAAAACTCTTTATGGACAAGAGACTGCCGAGAGATTTCGTTGCTACAAGACGTGCCTTACAAGAGCTACAGAAGGAAGTACTAAACAGGGAAAGGAACAACCAGTACCAGCCACTGCAAAAACGTACCAAATGGTAAAGAACAACGATGCAATGAAGAAACCGTATCAACTAATGGGCAAAACAACCAGCCAGTAACAAAATGGCAGGATCAAACTCAAATATAACAATAGTAACGCTGAATGTAAATGGCCTAAATGCCCCAATCAAAAGACAGACTGGCAAACTGGATAAAAAGTCATGACCCATCAGTGTGCTGTATTCAAGAGACCCATCTCACATCCAAAGACTCACATAGACTCAAAATAAGGGATGGAAGAAGATTTATCAAGCAAATGCAGAGCAAAAAAAGCAGGAGTTGCAATCCTAGTCTCTGATAAAATGGACTTTAAACCACAAAGATCAAAAGAGACAAAGAAGGGCATTACATAATGGTAAAGGATCAATGCAACAAGAAGAGCTAGCTATCCTAAATATATATGCACCCAGTGCAGGAACACCCAGATACATAAAGCAAGTTCTTAACGACCTACAAAGAGACTTAGACTCCTGTACAATAATAGTGGGAGACTTTAACACTCCACATATGATATTAGACAGATCAACGAGACAGAAAGTCAACAAGGATATCTAGGACTTGAACGCAGATTTGGACCAAGTGGACCAAACATTTACAGGACATTTACAGGAAACTCCACCTCAAATCCACAGAATACACATTCTTCTCAGCACCATATTGCACTTACTCCAAAACTGACCACATAATGGGAAGTAAATCACTCCTCAGCAAATGCAAAAGAACGGAAATCCTAACAGTCTCTCACACCACAGTGCAATCAAATTAGAAATCAGGATTAAGAAAAGCACTCAAAACCGCACAATCACATGGAAACTGAACAACTTGCTCCTGAATGACAAATGGATAAACAATAAAATGAAGGCAGAAATAAAAATGTTCTTCAAAACCAACGAGAATGAAGACACAACATACCAGATCCTATGGGACACAAAGCAGTGTCTAGAGGAAAATTTATAGCAATAAATGCCCACATGAGAAAAAAGAAAAGATCTAAAATTGACACCCTATCATCAAAATTGAAAGAGCTAGAGGAGAAAGATCAAAAAAACTCAAAAGTAAGCAGAAGACAAGAAATAACTAAGATCAGAGCAGAACTGAAGGAGATAGAGACAAAAAAAAAAACCCTTCAAAAAAATCAATAAATCCAGAAGCTGGTTTTTTTGAAAAGATCAACAAAATAGACAGACCGCTAGCTAGACTAACAAAAAAGAAGAGAGAAGAATTGAATAGATGCAATAAAAAAACGATAAAGGGGAGATCACCATGGATTCCTCGGAAATACAAACATCAGAGATTACTACAAAAAACTCAGTGTACATAAACCAGTAAGTCTGAAAGAAATGGATAAATTCCTGGACACTTGCACACTCCCAAGACTAAGCCAAGAAGAAGTTGAAACTGTGACTAGACCAATAACAAAGTTTGAAGTCAAGGCAGCAATTAATAACCTAGCAACCCAAAAAAGTCCAGGTCCAGACAGGTTCACAGCCGAATTCTACCAGACATACAAGAGCAGCTGGTACCATTCCTGTTGAAACTATTCCAAACAATATGAAAAAAGGGAATCCTTCCTAACTCTTTCTATGAGCCCAACATCATCCTGATACCAAAATGTGGCAGAGACACAACTAAAAAAGAAAAGTACAGGCCAATATCCATGATGAACATTGATGTAAAAATCTTCAATAAAATACTGGCAAACCGATTGCAACAGCACGTCAAAAAGCTTATCCACCACGACCAAGTAGGCTTCATCCTGGGGATGCAAGGCTGGTTCAACACATGCAAATCAATAAATGTAATTCACCACATAAACAGAACCAAAGACAAAAACCACATGATTATCTCAATAGATGCAGAGAAGGCCTTCAACAAAATTCAACAGCGCTTTATGGTAAAAACTCTCAAGAAACTAGGTATCAATGGAACATATCTCAAAACAATAAAAGCTATTTATGAGAAATCCACAGCTAATATCATACTGAATGGGCAAAAACTAGAAGCATTCCCTTTAAAAACAAGGATGCCCTCTCTCACCCTCCTATTCAATATAGTATTGGAAGTTCTACCCAGAGCATTTAGGCAAGAAAAAGAAATAAAGGGCATTCAATTAGGAAAAGAAGTCAAATTGTCCCTATTTGTAGATGACACGATCATATATTTAGAAGACTCCATCGTCTCAGCCCAAAACCTCCTTAAGCTGATAGGCAACTTTGGCAGAGTCTCAGGATACAAAATCAATGTGCAGAAATCACAAGCATTCCTATACACCAATAACAAACAGAGAGCCAAATCATGAGCAAACTCCCATTTACAACTGCTACAAAGAGAATAAAATACCTAGGAATACAACTAACAAAGGAGGTAAAAGATCTCTTCAAGGAGAACTACAAACCACTGATCAAGGAAATAAAAGAGGACACAAACAGATGGAAAAACATTCCATGCTCATGGTTAGGAATCAAAATTGTGAAAATGGCCATACTGCCCAAAGTAATTTATAGATTCAACGCTATCCCCATCAAGCTACCATTGACCTTCTTCACAGAACTGGAAAAAAACACTTTAAACTTCATATGGAACCAAAAGAGAGCCCACATAGCCAAGACGTTAGTGAGTTATGATCACACCACTCCATTCTAACCCGGGCAAAAAAGCAAGACCCTACCTCCAAAAAAAGGGAAGACCCAACAACCCAACAATATGCTTTCAACAAGAATCCATTTTAAATATATACATAGTTTAAAAGTGAAAAGATCAGCTGAGCATGGTGGCTCATACCTGTAATCCCAGCACTTGGGGAGGCTGAGGCATGAGGATCACTTGAGGTCACGAGTTCGAGACTAGCCTGGTCAACATGGCAAAACCCCATCTCTACGAAAAATACTAAATTAAGCCAGGTGTAGTAGCACACACGCCTGTAATCCCACCTACTTGGGAGGCTGAGGCAGGAGAATTACTTGAACCCAGGAGGTAGAGGCTGCAGTGAGCCAAGATTGCACCACTACACTCTAGCCTGGGCGATACAATGAGACTCTGTTGCAAAAAAAAAAAAAAAAAAAAATAGTGAAAAGATCAAGAAAAATATACCATCCAGACCTGAACAAAAGAAAGCTGGGGTAGGAATATTAGTTTCAGGCAAAGCAGACTTCAGAACAATGAATATTATCAGGGAGAAACAGGGATATTACATAATAACAAAGGAGGCAATTTTCCTCTACACATAATTAATTCGATCAGTGTGTTAAATAAGTTAGAGTCATATTTTCATTAAAATGTAAAGCATTTAAATTATTTTTCCAAACTTATGAGATGAAAAAGGATTAAGAAAATGACTCTTAAGTTCCACCTTCTGCAAATAAGGAAATGGGGGTGCTCTGAGATTCCTGAGCTTTAGCACTCGCCCACTTCCCACTCTTCCAGCTACACTGGCAGTTTCTGAACTGTGTTCCCCAGAAGCACTTGAGCAGTCACTGTGGTGGGGAGTGGGTAGTAAGATAGGTGGCCAGATCCACAGCAGAAAGGTGGGCTCCAGGCTGTTTATATATTGGATTCTGTAAAAGATTTCATTTGGAAAAGGAGTTCTGATGCTTAAAAATAAGTTTGAAAGTCACAACCTTTACCAAAGCATCTGTTTAAAGAACTTTAAATAAGTTTTGTAAATATAATCATCATCTAAAATGCAGGTTTTAAAAACTTCAGCAGTAAAAAAAGAAATATATAGTTGTTTCTTTTATGTTATCTCATATAGTTAACTAGCGGAGATAAAGAAGTGAAACTCGGGTCTCCTGCTTTTTAGTTCGATCTTCCCCGCAGGCTGCCCCCACAGATGCCTCAGTTTGCAGCAAAGAACATACCGCACAAACCTATCACCTATCACCATAGACAGGGTCCAGGCAGGACTGGCGGCGGTCAATACTCAACACTTATCTAATTAGACATTACTGTGAAATCTTTTCCATTTGAAGTTGTAAGAGATATGCTCATACTTACAAGAAGACCTGAAACATCAGAATACTTCTTAGCTGGCTTAAAGGATGGAGGAGCATCAATACTGAAGTCTGGAAAAAGAAAAGATAACTAAACTGGACTTAAAACATTCAAATCCCTTCTCTTTTTTCCTAAAATATTATTTGATAATATTCCTGTAATTTTCCTTTATGATTAAGTAGTCACAGAAGTCTCTGGAGATTACCTAGAGGAGTAGGGGAGGATTCTCAGAAATAATGCAGTATGTCATAGGCCAAGTGCAGGCTCCAGATCTAGCCCCGCCCTATCACCAGGGACCCTTATTCCAGCAGAACCACTGGAAAGATCATCTGCCCACCAGCTATTTTCACAATCTCATACTGCATGAGCTGACGGTGATGAAATGCCAAACAAGCCAATAACTGGATCTGAGCATCCCGACACCCTCATGTCCGCACCCAGATGAGTGAATGACTAGCTCACTTGTCACCCATGTGAGTCACCCCATGAAAGAAGTATAGTGGAGCAGGAGATGGTGAGAACCTTGAACTTGTACTTTCCAGTGACACTAAACAGAACATGTAACCATGTTTTACATAAATTTGGACACAATGCCGCATGAAGTATTTACTCTGCTAAACGCTGGCTCACAAAGTAAGACAGCTGGCTAAGCTGGTTGTCAGGAGCCCTCCCAAATCTGGCATTATACTTGGGCTACCTTGTCTTTGGAAACATACTTTAAGAGTAGACTTCTGAATAAGAAGTTTGTCTAGCAGAAACAACAATATTATCATATCGGGACCTATGACACTAAAAATCACACATCCATGACAACACAAACAAATAGGCTCAATACAGATACAGTTATGAGAAAATGCACACATAATCTCTCCAGGCTGATACCACTATAAAATTCTCAAGCTAAAAATTATTTCCTACAATAATGCAAACACAATAAAATAATGTGGGTTTGTTATAAGACAGTTCCTACTCTGAACATTATAAACACATGGAAGGCTCTAGGCAGCTCACAGTTAGGATCGTTCAGTTGCCACGGCAATGCCCTTTCGGAAGCGAGGATTTGTTTCAGGTTCTTCCAGGTTCTGTTCTTCTTGCCAGCTACCGCGCCACCGTGGCCAGAGTGCTCGAATTAAAGAATTAAAGGCATGGATTATTAGGAGAAACAAAAACCAATGGGGACTACCATTTCAGCATCTGACATTTATGCTTAATCATAACTGTAATATACCTCTCATTCAACAATCATTTGGACCCCTGAGACTTTTTTTTTTAAAGTATTTCACTGTACACGTTAACATGTTAATCTTAGTTTTTTTTTTTAAAAAAAAAGGTTTTCAAATTGTCAAAACCCTTAAGTTGGTGTTGAAGTAGAAATAAAAGACTACTTTTTTATATGCATGTTAAAAAAAAACACAAAGCCTTTATTGGATCTAACTTCGTAGAATTCATTCATGAATTTCTTCATATTTGAAGATAAATTTGCGATGAAGTCAGATTTAAATCCACGACTGCATCTCTAAACTCCCTTCTCGGGACAAGTCTCCACCTTGCAAACTGGGGATCCTGGAGAAGTCCAGAAAGCCCCAGTTGCAGTATGGCAAGCCTTCTGGAAATCTTTTTTTTTTTTTAATCCTATGAAGATGACAGAATAAAATGAAAAAGAATATCAAAATCTATTGCAAACACTGGTAATACTGTATTTCCAAAACTAATTCATTAGAAATAATTTAACAGTATAATCTCAACTGCTGCAATTTATCACCACTCTCAAGAATGAAAGGAAGAGAACCGTATTTTCACTCAACAGCACAATAGCTTCGATTTACCTTTAAAAGCTAATGAGCAAGTATTCTTCTTTTAGTTAAATATTTCAAGCGTTGTCTAAGATTTATGTAAGATCAATGAAAAGGTTAGGGGAACAACCATCATGGAAATGACCCACCGCCAAACAGTATCCTTTAATGAATTCACGAAGGACACCCAAATCCCTGGGCAACGGCACACTGAGAGATCAAGAAAGAACCCTTCTTCTCTTGTCCCCATCTTGCCCATGGGGGAGAATGAGGCGACTGGGACTGAGGGAGAAGGGGATGCCAGTGCTACCCTGGCTATAATCCCAGCAAGATCAGAGGCTGAGGTGTGGCATTTGGCTGTTTGTTCAGCTAATACCTTTGATGCTTACCACAAAGTTGGGATCCTTAAATGGCAAAGGTTTGGTAGCTTTTTCCACAGGTCCTGTGCTAAACTCAGAGGGCACCATTTTATTCTCACTCATGGCTTCCATGCTGATACCCTTAAAACATAAGAAAAAGAGTTTGAAAAAAAAAAAAAAGAGGCAAAGAAGGGATCATGAGCTGGCCCAAAGTCCCCAGTGAGTCAGGGGCTCCCAGTTCTCAGTCCTGGAGGATACTGTAAGCATGACAAGGACAGTCTTACAGCACCAGGCACTAGTGTGGCCATGCTCTGCAGCTGTGAAATTCTTCCTTTGGTTTCTCCAAGCAAAGAATCCTCTAAAAAGAATCTCATCTATTAATGTGATTATTAATCTGGAAAAAAAAAAAACCCACTTCTCAATAAAATGAATCTATGACAAAAAAAAAAAAAAGAGTTTGAAGAAGTCAGTTTCTTCCAGCTGAGTTCCCCACCTCTGCTCTCAACAGGGCATACGATGCCACAGGGCATGCAAGCAAAGACAGTGTGCCCAGAGCGTCAACAGGAAGCCTGCCCCAGGGGAGGGCACACCACACGTGGAGTAGCACCTGCTGTGCAGATGCCACAGGAGAAACAGGCAGGACCCTCAGCTGCCATGTTTCCTGGGTCCCCTAAGTGCCAAGCACAGGGATGGCTGTCCTATCCAAGTTAGCTCATTTAATTCTGACAATCACTCCACAGTAGGCGCTATTATTCCCAGTATACAGAAAAGAAAACTGAGGCCCAGCGGGGACAGGTTCAGGGTCATGTAGTGATTGACCTTTGGATTCAAACCTAGGTTGGGCCAATTCTAAAGCCCTCATTATCTCCATGACACAACACAGTTCTGCTTCCTCTGATCTTATGAACTGTGTCTTGAAATATTTAGACAAAAAAGGTTCAGCCCCTCTAAGGGTCTAGTTGGCCAGAGAACCCAGACTGGAGCTGGTATGCTTAAGGGGCACAACAGGACATGGGCATTCCAAGGAAGGAAAATGGAAAGGAAGCTGGAGGGCCACGGGTCAGCTGGCAGCAGCCAGAGAGTGCCCTGACAAGCAGGCTAATATGGTTTAAAGCAAAAAACCTTTAAGCTAACAATCACAAAGCAAAAACTTCTGATCTGTAATACCATTTCCAATCTTCCCAGACTTCAATTAACTCTAAAATTTAGATGTGATTTACATACAGTGAAATGCACAGATCTTAAATGTAGTTGTCATGAGTTTTGCCAAAAGTTTACATTAGCATAATCCAAATTCCTATCCTTGTCAATACCTTCTAGTCCCAGTGGCAACTGCTGTTCTGATTTCTATCATATTACTTTTGCCTGTTCTATGACTTCATATAAATAGCATCTGGCCAGGCACGGTGGCTCACGCCTGTAATGCCAGCACTTTGGGAAGCAGAGACTGGCAGATCACCTGAGGTCAGGAGTTTGAGACCAGCCTGACCAACAATGGAGAAATCCCATCTCTACTAAAAATAAAAAAATAGCCAGGCATGGTGGCGCATGCCTGTAATTCCAGCTATTTGGGAGGCTGAGGTAGGAGAATTGCTTGAACCCAGGAGGTGGAGGTTGAAGAGAGCAGAGATCGTGCCATTGCACTCCAGCCTGGGCAACAAGAGCAAAACTCTGTCTCCAGAAAAAAAAAAAAAAAAAAAGCATCTAACAGCATGTACTCTAGTGTCTGGATTCTTTTCCTCAGCATAAAGTTTCTGAGATGTGGCAGGGCGTGGTGGCTCATGCCTGTAATCCCAGCACTTTGGGAGGCTGAGGTGGATGGATCATCAGAGGTCAGGAGTTTGAGGTCAGCCTGGCCAACATGGTGAAACCCCATCTCTACTAAAAAATAAAAAAATTAGCCAGGCATGGTGACAGATGCCTGTAGTCCCAGCTACTTGGGAGGCTGAGGCCAGAGAATCACTTTAACCTGGGAGGTGGAGGTGGCAGTGAGCCAAGATCGTGCCACTGCACTCCAGCCTGGGTGACAGAGCGAGACTCCACCTCAAAAACAAAGTTTCTGAGATGTATCCAGGTTGTTGTTTGGATCAGTTTGTTTCACTGTATTTGCACACTACTCAACACAATAGTATTCCACTGTAAGGATGCACCCCAATTGGTTTATTCATTTTCCTGTTGATGGACACTTGGTTCACTGTCAGTCTTCAGCTATTATAAATAAAGCCTCTGTTATGTTTTCATTTCTCTTGGGTAAATACCTAGGAGAGGAATGGTTGGGTTCTAGGGTAAGTGTATATTTAACTTTACAAGTCACTGGCAAATCATTTTCCAGAGTGGTTGCATGTCAAAAAAAGAGGTAAGGCTAAAAGTCATCATGTTGTCATGTGGACGGTGGAAGACACCACAGGATTAACTAAAACATGGCTTATCTACTCTAAGCTGGAATTTCAGCAACTTATTCTGCCAAACTGGTTCTCTCATGCTGATAAGGAGCTCCACTTACTTATCTTAGTAAGTGAAACTCCTACTTGTCTTAGTAAGCGAGTATGGTGGAATATGAACAAATACATTCATTCATCTTGGTGGAAGAAGGGTCGTGAAGGAAAAAACCACTCACTTTGCTGAAATAGTTCTTTGAGTGTTCTCTCCTTCCCAGACCCTCTCCAGGTCTCTCCACCTGAGCCGGGGCTCCAGTCAAGGACTCCAGGCTCTCTCCTCTCCTTTGTTGCCGCCACCTTCTGTCTGGGGTCCCCTTTACCTCATCCTCTCCACTTCCAAGGTCTTTCTTAGCTTTTCTTCCCTCCAAGCTGAGTGCAAATGTCAGCTCTAAGAACTGAGATGCTGCCCACTCCTCATCCTTTTCCTACCATCTGTAGCCATAGTGATTTCTCTCTGCCTTCCTCCCACCCTCCCTCCTCCCCTCTCTCTTCCTCTCTCTCCCTTCTTCCCACAGTCCTTTGCCTTTATCTGGTAACTTCTTGAGCTACAAACTTCAGAGGTGGGACTCTGCAGTACTCATCTTGCCTACTCTAGCCCATTCTCTGCATCTCGGCTAGTGACACACTTGTCAATGCAAGCATGATGATGCTCCGCTACTTAAAACTGGCCAGTGGTTTCTACTTCCCTCTTGGGTAGAAACAAATTCAGGCCTCCTCTCCAGCCTCACCTCTTGTTCCCCATCCTTCTTATATTTTGTCTTTTCTGATGCAATATCCATTTAGCCATTTTCTATATGCTATACTAAGATTATTTTCATTGGTATTCATCCGTGTCAGTTTTAATTTTTCAAGAAAGATTAGATTTAGTTTTTTTTTTACATGACTAACTTTTATTGCTTGTATGATTTTTTTTTCCTTTATGATAATTGCATTTCAACTGGGTACCTGTATTCTGGGAGACCCAGTCTGATAAGGAAGATTTGATTCTCCCATCACATTTAATCAGTAACAAACATTACTTTGTGCAGTTTTAGCCAGCTGTCAATGTTATTTTGCACTGACTATTTTTAAGAGTAACATCTAGTATATTTTGTATATATGATCAATAGTTTATATCAGTGAAAAAACAGCAGCTTTATGATAGAGGCAGGGAACAACAGATCAGAAGAAAGGGAGACAAGGAGAGAGGTGAATGGATGAGGGAAGGGGTAGATTCAGAGAGTGAGAATGCACAGTGGGCTCAAAACATGCTGCTTTATTCAATGAGTCAGACTCTATCACTGCTTCTAACCCAGTGCCTAGCACAGAGTAGGTACCAAATAATGAATGATTCATTGATTAACTGATCAATGTTAAGGAACAAGACAGGGCAGCATGACTGAATGCCAGCATCAGCACTGGAGATGTACATGCTCAGAAGCTCCTTATAAGGAATCATCTCTGGCTGGGATGCAGTGGCCAAACACACAGGAAGGATAACTCTGAAAGAAACAACTGAGTGTGGTTACCTACAGGGGTAGAGGGGAACACAGTGGATAGGCAGGGAGATGGGAATGAAATAGAAAAGTAAATCTTCTCTGAATATAGCTTTCTGTACTTTTTGAATCGTGTTTGAACTTTCTGACTTTTTGAACCATGTTAAGGTTTCATACATTTGAAAAAATAATAAATTCAACAAGGATGGGGCAGGGGATAAAAAAAGGATTTTTAAAACCCTATAAACAAAAATTCACTTGTGTTTCAAATAAATAATATAACCACACTGAAGGGGAGGCAAGAAAGAAATAACCTGAGTAACTATGAATATAGTATTTTGACTATTTAATCAAAGGTTAAAGGCCAAAAAGAACCATACATAGTTTGTAAGTTTGTTTCTCACAGGGGGGTACATGTTAATAATTCTGAAACTACTTTATATGTATTCTAAGATACATAACAAATGTAGGAAAGCAAATAAGAAAAGGAAGAAGGCCAGAATGAGCACTGTGGAGTTGGATTAAAACTAGAGGTTACCAATATGAGCTCACAGTTTTCAATATACATGCAGATAATTACAGAAATAGATATAGAGGCGTGGGGGCTGCAGGTATACACATACATGTATTTCCTAGCCCTGTCCACTGAGAAGACTGGAAACAATGAACAACAGGCAAAGCAACATTCAGATCGTGCCTTCTAAATACAATTGGTCCTCCATATCAGGGGGTTCTGCATCCATGGATTCAACCAACCGCAGATGGAAGATATTTGGGGGGAAAAATGCATCTCGACTAAACATGTATAGACCTTTTCTCCTTGTCATTATTCCCTCAACTGTACAGTATAACAACTACTTACATAACACTTATATTGCATTAGGTATTATAAGTAATCTAGAGATGGTTGAAGTATACAGGAGGATGTGCACAAATTATATGGAAACACTATGACACTTTATATCAGGGACTTGAGGGTCCATGGATTTTGGTCTCCATAAGAGGTCCTGGAACCAATCCACCACAGATACTGAGAGACAAGTGTATTATTGTCTAAGAACCAGTGATCCTTGAAGAAATGGCTGACTCTAAGGCTGGAGCAGAAAAGTATAAGATAAGACTAGAACATCTATCTTGTGGTGTCAGAAAGGAAGCACTTGTGTCAGTTTATTTGGGTTGCCATAACGGAATATCATAGATTGGGTGGCTTAAGCAATAGAAATTTATT